ATAATTTATATAGGATTAATAAATTAAGATTAAATTCTAAAACTAATTCTAAATATTATAAATATAGCTTTTGAAATTTTAAATAAATTTATAATTTATTTTTAAAAAAGTATTCTTAAATATTATTATTAGAAAATACAATATAATGTTAATAAATAAAATTTCTATAAAAATAACAAATTTTTTTAAAATTTTTATTATTATTTAATATTTATAATTAATAATAAAACACTTCTTTTGCTATTTATATAATAGATTTTAAATAACTTAATATAACTTTTTTAAATATTTTTATTTGATTATTTTTAAATTATAAAAATTTTTTTCATATTTTTTATATTTATTTTTATTTATTAACTTATTATATTTTATAAATTCATTAAAAACTAATAACAAAAAATACTACTAATATAATTAATACAAATTTTATAAAATTTAATGATTTTATTAATAATCTAATAATTTAAAAATAAACAAAAAAAATAATATATTAGTAAAATTAAATTATAAGATATAATAAATCATATTATTTTACTGATAATGCTCTGATATATTATTGTTATCTAAAAAATACTATAATATTTTAATTTTTAATTGTCTGAAGCGTAATTATAGAATATTATGATTAAACCTGAAAGTATATATATAGTGTTTGTCTTTCATGTGATAAATCTCAATATAATATTAAAAAATATCTTTTATAAATTATTTTTAATACTTTATTAATATTCTTATTTATATTTTTCTATTTTAATTTCACTTTTTTATGCATTTTGAATAAGTTTATTATATATATCTTGAATAATATATCTATCAATTTTATCTACATTACTTGTTAAAAAATTTTCTTCTAATAATGTTCAAATTTCAGATGATATTTTTTTTCTTATACCTTTTTTTTAAAATTTTAATTTGCTTTAAATATCACCTAAATTTAAAAAAAATTTAATTACATTATGATTATTTTTTTTTCAACAGATACATTACTTCTTTCTTCTCATGCTAGATAATAATAATTATTTATTTATTAATTTATTTAGTATTCAAAAATTATATCAAAAATTATATATACAGTGGTGTGCAAAAAATGATTTTTTTTTCAAAAAATGATCAACTGGCGTAACTTATCCAATTTTGGTCAGAATTACATAAATAAATATGCAAATGAAAGCCTGATGATCCCTTTATCATCTTTTAGCAAAACCTTTCCCATACTTTAACAAAAATTTTATTTTATTGAATATCAAAATGACCTCATTAAAGCAAGAAATGCAACGACAGGCTATATTACATTTCTGGAAGCAAGGAATACGAGATGCTATTAAAATACAAAGTTTAACAAAGATTCCAATTAGTACTATCTGCTGAAACCTTAAAAAAATTCAAGATACTGGGGATATAAAGCATAAAAGTGGTAATGGACGTATTAAAAAAATAACGACAAATGCATCTCGGGCTATTGGACAATATATTTGAAGGCAACCTTCAATTTTTGCTAAGTCTGTTGCTGATAAATTATAAGATATAGAAGTAGATGTCTCCTGCTTAACAGTTTCGAGACATTTAGCTGATCTTAGATATAAAAATGCACTTCCTCTTTGCACACCAATGCTAACTGAAGTCCATAAATAAAAATGAGTTAAATGGACTCAAAAACATAAGGATGATGATTGGAAAACAATTCTATTTAGTGACGAAATATCTTTCCAATTATTTTGTAACATGATAAGACAATGGTATAAAAATGCAAGGCCAATCCGTCCAATGCTAAAGGACTGAAGTAAAATATTCGCCTGGGATGGGTTTTGTATAAAGGGTACCACTAGTTTTTTTTGTTTTAGGCGCATAATGAATGGAGAATTTTATATAGAAATATTGGATAAGCATCTCCCAGAAATGTGCAATATGTTACAAGGTAATTAGCGGCTGTAATAAGATAACGATCCTAAGCATAGAAGTCTTATTGCTAAGGATTTTCTTGATAAAAATGTTCCAAATATTATGGATTGGCCTTCTAATAGTCCAGACCTAAATCCTATTGAAAACCTTTAGGCAATTGTTAAAAGGAATGTGGAGTTGCGTAGGCCAAAAAATCTTAGTGAATTAGAGCGTTTATTGGAAGAGGAGTGGAGAAAAATTCAAAATAGTCTTCTAGTTAATCTTGTAAATTCAATGCCTCAGCGTTATAGGGAGGTTATTGAAAAAAATGGTGAACGAATATTGTATTAATTTTTTTTTAATAAATTTACTACTTCTCAGCTTTAAAATGACGCATTAAATATTTTAATTAACGCAAAACTTGTAAACCTATCGTGATTTTAAAAAAGTTCATTTTTTTTGCACACTACTGTATCTATTTTTGAATTCTGTATATCTTATATTAATTGATTTTTTATAGATTTATCAATTGTTTTTTACTTTTTTCACTATTCAAATTATTTTCATCTTTTATTAAATTTCTTTCTTAATATAAGACTTTAATAATAAAAAGAAAAAAGAACTTCTGATATAAAAAGTTTTATTTCAGTTTTAAAAAGAACGCAATATACTGAAGAAATGACAACTGTTGCTGTTTCATATACCTCACTTATATTTATATATATACCAAAGATATAGGGTTAAAAGTAGATTCAGTTTGAACTACTTTAGTAATAAATTCACGTTTATTTAATATAATTAATATTTTAAAATGTAACCGAATTGGAAAAAGTGAAATTATATTATTTGTTTTATTAATGGGTTAGGAAAGCCACCAATTATAGTAACAATTATAAATTATGCAACAAAAAAAAATTTCATTAAAACAAAATATTTTTTATAATTATGGAAATAATTAATTTTTTTTTTATTATTTTAATTAATAATATTATAATTTCCTAAAACTAAAATTTAAACATGAATTAATAAGTAAATTATTTTTTAAAGTATATAATTATTTGAATAATGCTGTTGCATTATTTATTTTCATTTTTAATACAACTCAAATAACAATTAATATATCCTAAATTAATATATCGCAACATTATTCTTTTTTAAAATATATTTTAAATTTGATACAATTATCACCTCATATACCTTTTCTGAGCCTTAATAATATCATGAATCCTTTCTGGTATAGACTGAATTAGGTTAGTACAAGTTTTAACATTGAATTCTTTTCAGATCTGCTGTATCTTATTTTATAAGTTCTTTTTACTTAAAATTTGTCTAAGGAGATGTCTTAGCCAATGATCAATCTCGTTCTATAAATGTTCAATGAGTTCAGATTTGGGAATTGGGGTGGCTAATCTAGGACTATCACCTTGTTTCTCTTAAGCCACTGTTTTGTTGAATTTGTCATGTGCTTTAGATCTCCATCATGTTGAAAAATAATGTCTTTAACAGTAAAATTATATGCTCTGATAGTGTCTATTAAATCGTCATGAATAATTTGTTAATATAAGTTAGCATTCATGATGTCATCAATCTTATAATAATCACCAACACTACGAGATGTAAAACATCCCATATCATAACTGACCTGCCTCCAAATTTTACTGTAGGTTTAATATGGTGGTCTTTTATTGGTTCTTTAAGATGCTTCCAGTAATACTGCTTCCTATCAGAACCAAAAATCTTGAATTTTGATTCATCAGATCATATTACTTTTGACCAGTCCTCAACAGTCCAATTTTCATATTTTTTTTGCAAAATTATATTGAGATTTTTATGTTTTTTACTAAGGTATGGCATTTTTCTTTTAATCCTTGCTACTAACCCATTATTTTAAAGTACACGATGAATAGTAGATGTTGAGAAGTCAAGATTTTCTTTTTCTTGTAGTCAGTTTTGTACTTCAACAGCTGATGAACACCTCCAAGAAGTAATAAGGTTAACAATTCTTCTTTGTGTTAGTTCATTTACAGTAGGTGGATGACCTGTTCTTGCTAAGTCTTTAAGAGAGTGGGTTTCAAGCCATCTTTTCTAATGAGAACTGTAGAAGGTGCAATTTTTTGAGCCTTTGCTACTTCTCTAGTTGTGTGTCCATTTTGTAATGAAAGAAGAATTTGTGCTCTTTCATTAGGAGTTGTGTGATGCTTTTTTGCTGCTACTCGTTTATTAAGTAGTTGTGACATATCACGGGATCAAATAATAAATAAAAAAAAAATACAATTTTTATGTAGCACAATAATAATCATCTGATTCATGTCAAAAACAATCAAAAGTAATGCAACGCGTGATTTGTATTACTTGCATATTATTTTATAACTGGAAGTATTAATGGATATTAAAAATTTAATACCGAAAAATAATGGTATTAACAAATAAAAATTTATTAAAGGGGGTAGTATATCTTTAGAATTGAAAGAAATATTTAAATTTAAAGGATTTTATTTTTTTTGTTGCATTATTTATGATCGCCACTGTATGACAAAAAGGTCCAAAATGCAAATTTTCGTCCCAAATGCCACGAGAAATTAATTAAATTGTATATTCTTTGAGTTTGGACATGTGGTAAAAAATTAGTTATAGAGCAATAACAGATTCTAAAACCCCGTTCAAAAACTATAATTTAATTATCCCCACATTGATATATTAAAATCATCGATCGGCATATGGATCACGAATTAATCTATTTTTTTACTCATTAAAAAGAATTTTTTTTATATATAAAGGAAAGTACAGATTGCAGATTTAATCAGCCAATTAAATTAATTTAAATTCCTTAACGCATTGATTGGCCAAAACTTTATATAAATAGAATATTTAAACACCTTTTTTCCTTTTTCTCGTAGGTTTTTGTTTATCACCATGTCATCACTTCGAAATGCATTACAACGAAGAAATCATAAAGAGCGTTCTCAACCACGTTCTAGACAAAGATATGGTTTACTCGAAAAACGTAAAGATTATGTTCTTCGAGCTAGAGATTTTCATTCGAAACAAGACCGGTTAAAAGCCATGCGTGAAAAAGCTTATTTTAGAAATCCTGATGAATTTTATTTTAAAATGATTAATTCAAAAACAAAGGTATATTTTATACCCGAGAATTTTAGTCTGGTTTTATTTTATAGGATTGACGCTTTAATACTTTTGTAGGATGGAGTTCATGTGATGGAACATGATTCAACTTTATCTGGTGAAGCTATTAAATTAATGAAATCACAGGATTTGAGTTATGTTAAAACTCAACGCGACCTTGGAAACAAGGTTTGCTATCGAATTTTAATTTAAGTTTCTTTGTTAAGAAAATGATATATATATATATATTTATTTACTTATTTTTTTTTTTTTAAAAAAAAAAAAAAAGAAAATAGAAAAGTTACAAAGTGAATTACATTTTATTGAATCAGAATCCATTGAAGATAAGATAGAATTTGAAGGGAAAATAAAGGAAAAAATAAAATCACAACCACAACACATCATATTTGTTGATACTCCTAAAGAAGGTAACGCGCTCTTTTTTTCTTATAAAGAAAAGGATTACTTTCTAGATTAACGTAATTAATAAAAATTTTCCACCTGATATAGCCAAAACTTTTGATCCGGCAAAGCATTTTGATACTTTACCGGAATTAGTTAATAGAAAGTTTAATAGGCCTCGTATTGAGACATTACAAAATGAGGTTATAATGTTTCCCGAAGATGAGACAGAACTAATTCTATTACATAAGCAAAAATTAATAAAATATAAAGAATTATCGGCACGTATGCAAAGACAAGAAGAGTTAAGAAAGGTAGAACGAGAATTACAAATTCAAAAAAATTTAATGGGTAAAGGACGTAGAAAGAAAGTTGGTGTAGATAAAGACGGATTAGCAGTATATAAATGGAAGAACGAACGAAAGAGATAACAAACTTGTTTACCAACAAGTTTTAATATATTCAAAGTCAAGAAGATTGATTTTAACTTCCACGATAAGTTGTATAAGAGAAAGGACTGATCAGCAAAGGAACATGATAATGTTGGTTGGGGTCAGTTATCTCGAAAATAACCTACAAAAATTATGCATTAATAATAAGATTAAAACAAATTTCAATTGTAATATTTAAAGCTTACCTGAACATAAGGATAAAATGATTTTTGGTCTAATTTATCGAAGTATTTTGATGTATAAAAAGTAATGCGATAAGTAGCACTTGAATTGTTGTTCAAAGCGATTTTATAACTTTCCGGGACTAAATTGGGACATCTTCCATCATCATTCGTATATCTTATATAAATGAGAGCGAATTCAATAAAAAGTGCATAAATAAACTATGATATAAAGGCTGAAGCTTACGATTGTCCAACAACTTTCCAAGTTTCTGTTCCATTTTCGTCGGAAACTTCAGAAGAAGTTTCCCTAACTTCTAACTTTATTTGAATATTCTTGCCCGGCATTCCACGTGAAGAGTCAAGAACATGACAAGTTATAGGGCCACGAGAAGTTGACATTTGTATATCTTTCTAAGAGAATGTTAAAAACAAATACTTTAATTATCAATAGATTTTGATGATGATAAAATCGTAACAGAAGTTTGCGTAATTTGATAAGACGTAATGATTTTTATAAAATGTATAATATATTTGGATTATCAAATTATATGATCATACATTGTCTTTTTTTTTTTTTTTTAATTTTTTAACATAAAAATGCCTTTTCGTAAGGTTAAAGAAATAATATTCATTGGAACAGGTATGTAAATTTATATTACTTTAGATTAAATATAATATTAAAAAAAATAAAATAAAAAAGGAACGTGTTTGTAGGAACTTCTTCGGGCGTTCCTACCGTCGCTTGTCTAACTGATCCCGAAAAAAGCTGTAAAACTTGTATGTCGACTTTAACGTCTGAAGGAGAAGTTAATATTAGAAGAAATACAAGTTTACTGGTTAGAGTTAATCATGAAGATGGTAGAGTTAGGTAAAGTTAGAACTTTAGGAGGGTGGTGTTTTTTTTTTTGTTATCTTTGTAAGTTTAATTATTGATTCTAAATCGTTTAATTCAATACCATTTGAAATGCTTATTGATCTTTTCATATATTTAACAGGAATATCGTAATCGATTGTGGCAAGACATTCTATGGTAAATAATCTCGTCTTGTTGTGATGTTCCAAAGAAGTAACTTGATTTAAAAAATTTTTTTTTTCTTTTTAGTTTCTGCACTAAAATGGTGGCCATATCATGAGTTGCGTAATTTGGATGCATTGATATTGACACACCCGCATGCGGATGCAATTAACGGATTAGATGATTTAAGAGCTTGGACATTACGTAAAGTTATACAAGAATATATCCCAGTTTATTTAACTAGTATTACTTTTGAAACTATTCAAACTCTTTTTCCTTATCTTGTTGATTCAAAACAAGCATCTGGTTTGTCATTTTAATATTAAAATTAGTCTCCTTTCATTTGAATTTGAAATTTTATTTTTTTCCTCATCTTGCGTAATTATATGTTCAGGTGGAGGTGATTTACCTGCTTTTAAATGGAATATTATTGATATAAATCACCCATTCACCGTCGAAGGATTAGAATTCACCCCCCTACCAGGTAAATGAAATCATTAAAAATCTTCAGATGTTTAATTCTTTACTACAAATATTACTTTAATCTAATACTCCTTTAAATTCTTATTTTTTTAGCTCATCACGGAAAATACTTTACAACAGATGAACCATACATTTATGTCGGTTACAGATTTGAAAACATTTCGTACATTTCAGATTGTAATTTTATACCAGACGATACATTAACTAAAATGCAAGGAAGCGATATAATGATATTAGATTCATTAGATTGTTGGTATACTCTTATAATTATCTTTACATTATTTACCTCTTTTTGATTTTAACTTACCAATTGATCTTTAATTTTAGATAAAGAACATCCATCTCATTTTTCAATAAATCAAGCAATAAATATTTCAAGAAATTCAAATCCGGTACCAAAACGAACATACCTTGTAGGTTTTTCTCATGGTGTGAACCATTCTGAATTAATTAATGAAATGAAGCAATTACAGTTAAATGAACCTTTATTATGGGTTAGGCCCGCTCATGATGGATTGAAAGTTGTAGTTGATAACCTAAATGAAGAACAATTATAGAAACATTTTTGGTTAGACCTTCATTTTCTTTTTGGAAATTGTAAAAGATTACATTATTCTACACATTACATACATACTATATAATTTTAATTATTTAATAAAAAAAAAAAGAGAGAAAAGATCGACTGGAACTTAGACCTCGAAGAATTTTTCATTTTAGAGATTAAACGCGTTTTACGTCATAGTGCTTTCAACAATCGCTGAAGAAACCATACCAATTCTTTTGGTTCTAACCGAAAAATTCATTGTGTAACCTCTCGACTAATATGACCCTAAAAAAAATGGGGTCAGCAAGAAAAAGATTAAATACCTCGTGTAGTTGGATCATTTATTTTTTTGAAAATTTTTTTTTTTTTTTTTTGATATTTGATCTTCGTCGAACAGGATTGTTGTTTAATCCTTGTATCCTTATACATAATATTGGAAAACTTTTACTGATTTCGCCTTAACCTTTGGGCTTTTGAACCTTTTTAGTGTTGCCCGGACTTTTATTAAACAGAAAAAACACAAACAAACAAATAAAACAAACAATGGAACCACAAGCTGATCCTATACAAGAACCCATACAAGAAAAAGAATTAGCGAAACAAGAAGTAGCAAAGCAAGAAGAACCCGCCCTTCCTCCCGACTTCTTTGATAATTCCTCATTAAATAATTCTTCTACAAAAGATTCTACTACAATGGAAATTGATGAACAAGAATGGATAAATTTTCAAAAAGAAATTTCAAAAGAAACTCAAGTGAGTAATAAAATTGCCAATGCTGATGACGAAGAATTACAAAGAGATAGAGATGAAATGCAAGAACGGGAGCAAGAATTTTGTTTAGCAAGGTTAGAAAAATTAAAAGAAGTTGCCAAACGTGTGAAAGAGATTCGTGATAATAATATGAAAAGCGAAAAGAAAGTAAGCGATGATGATGAGAATCTTGAAAATACAGATGATGAAGAAGTTTTTGATGATGATTTTGTGGATGAGTGGATGGATTGGAGAGCACAAAAAATTTTGTAATAAACTGACCCATACTTTTTCAAAACAACTTTTTTATTAATAATAAAATAATTTTTTTTTGACTCAATAATAATAATTAATAATCACTTTAAAACAATAATAATTAATAATCACTTTAAAACAAAAAACAAAAAAAAATTTTTTTTTCTTTTAATTTTTAAGAATTATAATAAAAAATTTTATAAATATAAATTTATTTCAAAATTTTCAAAATCTCAAAAAAAGAAATTAAAATAAAACGGAGGAACGACATAATATTATCACGTTTACGGTATAATACGTTAATATTAATGATTATTTCTTATTCCATCAACTATTAAATAACCTTTATACTCTTTAACGTTCCAATTATCCTTAACCAAAAATTTATTGATCGCTGTAGGCAATTTTGGCACTCCATTAGGTGAATGTTTTCCCAATCCTGTAATTATCTTCAATGGTTTCAACGATGTACCGCCTTTGTAAATATGAAATCGTAGGTTAAATATAATACATTTTCAAAAACTTCTAATTTATTTAATTATATTTACCAGATTCTGAGTACCATTGATTCAACTTTTCCTTAACTATAGTGAGTGCTTCATTCACACTACAGCCATGGAGATCAAGAACATTCTCCTCTCTTCTTTTCTCACTTTCAACACCATAAGAGAGAGTGGAAAGAAAGAAATAGCAACAACAATGATAAAATAAGAAAATTGGATAGATAAATTTATTTTTCCTATCCAATAGGAATATTTTATATACTGGAATTATTCTGCCCAATGTCCAGCAAAAAATATACCTTATGAAAGAGGAAAAATCTAAATCTCTCTATGGGTTTTATATAATCAATCACTTACCTATTTAACCTAACTGACGATCTGGCGGCTCTCAAGTTCCACCTTTTCATTTCTGTATCAAATTTCCTTCCCTATTAAATATATAATAAATGAATAAATAAAGGTCTCGAGACGTTTTGAATGTAATAAACATCATTATCTTGTTATTGAACTTATTTCACTAATCAATTTACCTCGGTTGAATAATGAAATGCAATTCCGCCTTCTCCATTACGATGACCTTTGGACTTTTGATAAGATTCGAATGCTTTTTTATAAGATTCGCTTCGCATTTCCATGTACTCTTGAGCCCTCATACGACAAAATACTGGATCATAGCGATCTTCATGATCTACTAACCCATCATCATTATCGTCGTCGTCGTAAACCTTGTATTTATTACGATTTGATGAAAAATTGAATTTTATCGGAATTTGTAATGAGGGCCTATTGTGATCCTTAATAACATTCGAAAAAGAGGGTGTATGAGATGTTTGCCTATAATCTTTGCTTCGTAGTTTGATGGCCTCATTACTGCCGTTCCAAACACTGTTGTTAGCAGATAATAACATATCTATCGCATTGTCAAAATGTCCCTTACAAGTAATGAGGGCATTCCTAAGGCTTTCGAAATCGTGGTCGGGCAACACGGTTGTCAATTGACTCAGATTTTCATCAAAAGAGTCATCTTGAAGGTAATTCCATTGATTCTTTGATTGTAACGGTGAAGTCAACGGTGATGGTGTGTCCCAACCCCAACGTGAAGCAGAAGATGACGACGAAGTTGATGATCCCGGTGTTGCAGGGCTATTTGATGCCGAAGATACGTTGGCATAGGAACGGAATGTATTATTTTGAATTATGATGTTTCGTTTTGGTTTCCTGTGTCGTTTTTTTTTACGACGTTTAAAACGGGATTCCGAAACCAAGAAATTATCCTCATCATTAGGATCCTTCACATAAACGGAAGATGGTGTTGAATTTGTTTGAAAGTATGAACTATCTTGCTCGTTAAGAAGCAAATTCAAAACAACTTCCACATTATCATTATTTTCTTTCATTAACGTATCGATAAATTCAGAAATCATAGGGAAACATGACTTCAAAAATTCGGTAGGTGAGTCGATTATACGATTTACTTCAGAGGATTCGAGATATTTAATTTCCTCATCTAAAGGAATGAAATCATCCGAACAAAGACTTCCGGAATCGTCTCCTATAGAAAGGTAGTCCATCAAATTTTCAATACTGGTCATTGATCCATCCCCTAAAGATGAGAACAAATTATAACAATTTATTTACAATTCAATGACGCTTTTATTTTTTGGCTTACCAGTTTCGCCATTAGAGCTCTTGTAGTTGCTACTACTGCTGTTTCCAGAATTCATTTCATCCTTGCTTCTTTCAGCATCCAAGACTAACGTAGCGTCCAAAACGAAATTAGCTTCCTTGGCTAATTTCTCAAAGATATCACAACAATCTTCGAAAATTTTAACATCATTGAAGATAGCTGCGACCAATGCTGAGTCAAGAGGTGGACAGTATTTTTGCTATTAAGTTGAAAAAACAATATATATAAAGAAACATTTGGTTAGTAAGGTATTGCTTAAATTACTGATAAAGATACAAGTTTTTACCAGAAAAAAAACGACTTTATGCAAATATTTCGAATTTCAAACATGGGACTTTGGGTATTCGTTTCTCCGCAATAAAAGATTTGATGACTTTAAAGTGATTCTACATTTAAGAAAATAAATAACTCTTTGCAAAGATGTTTTCGTACGGTCTAAACTGTGGTTCAATCAGCCGAAAAGTTCGAATCCGAAAGCAATGACGAACTTATATACAAAGCCATTGCAATTTTCCATTATATTTACTTTCCGCACATCTCACCTCTAATACCCGTAAAGTATCCATGTATTATTGTAAAGGTTTTTAAGAGGTTTTTTTTTTTTCAAATTGAAAATTCTTTTAGAAATTCAGACCTACGCAATAACAGAATATAGCGCGTAAGGATAAGTTTTGAGCGGAGGGAACATTTCTATGAAATTTATGATTGGAAGTTTTATAGCGCATTACACAACGAAAGAGGGGTGTATCACAAATAATCACAATAACAAATTTTTTAAATAATCAGGGAAAAGGTTGTTGTCATTTGATTCACAAATGAAATTACGATAAAGGCTAATGTTATTGATATTACGTAGTAAAGTTTTAATCTGTGACTCAAATAAGAAACGCGAAAATCGATCTTAACTTTATCACTTAATCACGAATGCAAAGATTTAGCCCTGATAACATCAAAAAAATTTGTTGTTATTTGATTGGACTTGAAAATTAAATAAATTTAAGTTAAGCGAAACATTGATCCAAGATATAATTTCTAGTTGGGTGGTATCCGCATTATGTTAATCAAGTATTCTGATAGATAAAATAATCTTGAGAATTTCTTTACCTTTTTTTCTTCCTCCAATCATCAAATAAATTAACGATTTCTTTAATTTTTGGGTCTTGAAATTCGGTTAGAGTACTTTCACCAAATGTAAAATTGGGCATTTTATATAATATAAATAGTTCGTTTCATGCTAGTCTTTATTTATTTATCCTCGCTTCCTTCGTTGTCTTTCTTTTTTCGTTAGGATAATAATGTCAATTTCCCATAATAGTAAAATTTGTTCGCTTTCCTCTTTGTCAACTAGCATACATGAATATATGCGCCCATTATTTTATTTAATGCTTGTTCTTGAATTCATGAATTCATGAGTTCACTTATTTCATAAAAGTAAAGGCATTATCAGAGAGAGTTTTTTTTTTAAAAATTTCTATAATTTCAGAGTTGAACCCTTTCAAATTGATTTCGTGTTTCAAAAAAAAAGGTATCTAATAATTACCACATAGAACCTTTGGAAAATATTTAGAGCCTACGAGGAGATTCGACCCATGATAATCGCCGAGAGTTCGCACAGAAAGTAGTTTGCCTGACAGGCATTAGGAGGAATCAAGTAAAGGTAGGAAGGAACTGAACCATACCTTTAGAAGAAAAAGTTATTAATTAGGAAAATAGCTAGTAAAACAAAAAAAAAAAAAAGATATGGCTTCATCTGATAACAATACATCAAAACAAAAAAAATCAATTTTACTATAAATCAAACCAATGAAATATTAATTTCATTTTCCAAATGGCTTCAATGAAGGCTTTTAATTTATTTTGTCCTCGTCACTCAAAACACATTAGAATTATTACCATTCTTGGTAACGTTACTCAAAACATTTCCCAATTAGTAAGAATCTATTAGTAAAAAGATCTTTCCAAAAGAAAGCCTCGATAGAAAAGTTCCAGCATACAAGGATAAATATAAAAATATTCTTCTTTTTGAGAGAGAGAAAGATTTAATATTGGGGGGCGTAAATCATAATCATAATAATAATAAAAATAAAAATAGCAATACATGCAACGATTTGCAAAGATTTTCAACGATGTTTTTTATAATAATCATAATATGTCCGTTTCAAATTATATAATTATATTAAACTTGCTTTAAAATGAAAAGAGATATGGAAAATTTATCAAACACCATTGTCACGTCACTAAGTCGTGCTCATTTATCAACCTTGACTAATTCAAACTATGAAAACAGTGATTATGTCGTTTTCGGAAAGTAAAATTTGTGTAACGACAAGTTCAAACCGATCAGCATAAGTACTGTTCATGTTATAAACTGTACATGATTTTCTCGTGAAATTATTCATGACTAGAGTCAAAGGTAAATCTCAAGAATCGAGTGAAGCACCAAAAAAAGCCGATAAACCCGAGAAAAAGGAAAGATGCTCTTATTCCGTTGATCAAAAACAAATAGTAGTAGAATATGCTCTTAAACATGGCAGAAATGTTGCAGCAAGGCTTTATAAAGTTGACAAGTCCATGGTTGGACGTTGGGTTCAGGCTAGTAAAAAATGGAATGCGGAACCTGCAAAAGTTAATTGGAATTCTCTACGAGTTGGTTCAGGACAAAAGCCTTTATATGAAGAAGCCGAAAATCAGTTACATAAATGGGTTTCTGATCAACATAGACTGGGTGCAGAGATTACCAACTCAAATGTCAGAAATAGAATGTATCAAATACTAAAGCAACCAGACATGAAGGTCTTATATCCTGACGCGGTAAACGAGTTCAAAGCTAGCTCGCGTTGGTTATCAGGTTTTTTGTCTCGCAAAAAATTAACCGTTCTACGTGATCGACCAGTCTTTAAGAAAAGACCTGTATGTGACGTGGTATTAAGAGAATATCGTCAATGTATTAAACGTCTTCGAAAGGATATAGAATATGAATTTACAAATCTTTTTAACATGGATGAATTACCTGTGTGGTTCGACGCGAAAGGTATTCTTAGAGTCAACCTGAGACGCGAAAAGACGATGAAAATTCCTGATTCGCGTTTTAAATTTACAATCTTATTAACTTGCGTAGCAGGTATCTCTATTTTAAAAAAAGTTTTATATTTTTCACAAATATAATTAAAATGTTCACGCGAATTTTTATAATCTTATGACGTATTTCAGATGGAACCAAACACCCACCTATTTGCGTATTTAAAGGGAAAGAGTTACCATACGGTGAGAAAGTTCCTGAAGGTATCTTCGTTTGGTTTCACGAAGATGGAATCGTGTCTCAAGAGTTGATGTTGGATTATATCGATATGTTGCACGTTATTAGAATGATGAATAACCAATCTAGCAAACCTGCCATCATGGTTCATGATGAATCAATGGACTCCGAAGGAGCGATCTCTCGGAAATTTGCTTCTCATAATATCAATTTGGCCGTTATTCCTAATGGAACGACATTAAGTGTCTTGCAGCCGATGGATGTAATTAATAAGGTTTTCAAAGATAACCTTATGAAAGAATGGGATAAATGGAATGCGATCACTGGAATTGATCGCAGAGCCACATTAACTGAGATTTGTAAATGGGTGAAGCATGCATGGGAAGGAATCTCTAAAGAAATTATCTCTGATTCTTTCAAAAAATGTCGCATTTCCAATGCGTTAGATGGATCAGAAGACAAGGCGAAATTTCCAACCGTAGACTCTATTCTTAAAGAGATTAAAGCGGATGATGCAATGCAACGATCATCTCAATCTCAAAATGAAGTATTTAATAATGAATACATGGTTAAGACAGAAGTGGAAGATGAAGTTGAGAAAGAACCAATAACCGAAATTCATGAAATTTTTGATAAATATACGTTTGTTGAGGCCGATCCTTTAGCAGAATCATCGTCGTTTGTTTCTCATACACAAAGTCACGTGCAACCTATTATTTTACGATTCAATTCATTTGTCAACAAATCAAGTTCAGACTATATTTAAATCTATAAATTCAGTTGTAATAAGATTATTTTTTTTTTTCTAATCATTGGACGTGATTTTTTTTTTTTTTTACAAACTTTATTTAAATTTATTTATCACCCATTAATTTTGAAATAAAATATAATTAATTTATGTAGAATTAATTAGAATGTATAAAAGTATTCGGATGTTATCACGACATTTCCAGCATTTAAAATCGATATTTCATGGTTAGAAATTTTATAATTAAAGGATTCACATAGGAAAAATATTTTAACAAAAAATTAAAAAGGTTACTTTAAAAATTCGACGGGAAAGTTTTCTTAGTAATAGTTGAAGCCATCGATAAGTTCGCCGCAGAATTTCTTAAATGTCACGGACATTGAGAATAAATAAATATTATTGCATTTGCATAAATAATAAACTGATCATTTTATGGGTGAGAAATAATATAATTTATTGATCCATTAAATTAAGTTCAATATTTAAATACAAAAAATCAACGTCCGAGAAAATAATAAAATAAAGTTCAAGTGATCTTAATTAATTGTATCAACTAAACCAGCTTTCCTAAAGTGAACATCTAACAAATCATTATAGCGTTCAGCTTGTTCACCAGGTAGTGCGTGACCAGATCCTACAAAAAGATTAAGAAAAGTCTAAATGCTAAAATAATATGATAACGTTTTAAAATGTAAGTGAGTTGGTTGTTACCTTCCCAATATTCAAAATCAGCATTTAACTGTTCTGCTAAGTAATAACTATTCTCTGGACGAATTAAATTATCCCAAGATCCTGTTACAACCAAAATCTGAAATGAAAATGGTTAGAATACCTTTTTTTTTTTTAAAACAAAAAGGGTGAATAAGAAAGAAAAATCCTTACTTGTGGAATATTATGTTTAATACGACGAAGACGATCAGGAGAACAATAATGACGAAGACAAGCAGCTATTTGACCAATAGCACCTAATAATAATAATAATAATAGATAGATAAATAAGATATTTTTATATTTATTATAAGCTAAAAATTATTATAATAATTACCGTTAACTGGTTGGATTCCACGACTAGTCATTCGTTCAAGGAATTTCTATTTAAATTTTACAAAATTTCAATTAAGTAACTTAAGCGAATTAATTTCAATGATATTTTACTAAATCATTTACATCTAACATATGTTTCTCATTCGTGGGATGAGGTGAACCCGGAGGGGCGGGAGCTTCTAACCATTCCTAAATGGATAACGCGAATATTAACATCAATTATCACGTGATTCTTAAAGCATGGTCCACTTACTTTGGGATAAATTAATCTTACAGTTATTTCAACTTTCTCAAGTGGATTCCTAATAAACATTAATTTACTTATAGTAGTAACAGCTAGCAACTTCGATATTATATAAAGAAGGGGAAAAGTGAAAATAAGTCAACGTTCAAGGTTTATTCTGATATATTCAATTTTTTTTATTTCTTTTAGGAATCTCCTTACCGGAGGTAATGACATTCCTGGTGTAGTAGAAGTTAAACAAAGTGACTTAAAGAATAGTGGTTTTGCCAACACCAATTCTTGTGCGATCATGCCACCCATTGAAACACCAATTAAGTGGACATTGTTCGTCCATCCGATATGTTCACACAAATCAATTATATCATGAGCCATTTGACTTGTGCTGGATAATATAACACCAAGTAAAAGTGAGTGTAATGATAACTTTACGTGGTATCTTAAATTATGATGTATAGGATAGGTTACCTGTAGAATCCTGGCGGTGCATCTATGGTGCGTGAATTGAAAAAAAAAAATTTTTAATTTTTATAATAGTTAAAAATAAAAAAAGATCGAAAGACGCGAATTCGTTTACCCGAATAACCAACACCACGATTATCAAAAACGCATACTTGATAATCAGGATGACTTCCGAAATGTCTGATCTAATAACATCGAATAAGGTTAGTCAAATTCAAAAAAAATATTTCTGCAAGGATTCGAGATAATTACCTGGTATTCCCAACTTTCCGAAGTAAGATTCAATCCTAATAAAATATGTTCACATGATTTAGTTTCGTTTAAAATTAAGTCTTTTTCAAACATTATAGCATACCCATGATGAAAAGAAGTTTATTTGGGCCTTTTCCGTGTGTTTCATAATAAATTTTTACTTTGGTATTATTTTTTCGAAAGTTGTTACCAACTTCACAATAGCCACTTTCTACCAATGTTGATGTGTGTGTGTGTCTATTATTATTGTTATTATTATTATTATTAACATGAGCTGATTTGATTGTAACCGAAGAAACGATATCGATATTATTAGTCATTATTGTTTGATCGGTCAAAAATACCGGTAAAAAAAAATATCCTAAAAGAGCTTTTTTTATATCTTTAAAAAAAAAAAATTGTGTTACCAGCGTGAGATTCAGTAAATAATTTTTCCGCAATTTATCTATTTATAGTCAAATTCTAAATTAGAATTCACATGTAGCTAGTACTTAATAATCATAATAATCGTATAAAATTCGTCATTAAAAGAATTCAAAATTTAAAACTTTTTTTTGTAAAATGAGTAATAAAACTAAAAGTCCTCAAACTAAAGAAGAAGTTGAAAAACTTTTGGAAAATGATCAACGGATAAAAGTAGCCGGTAAAATTAGCTTCTTTTACGTGAATTATGAAGTCACAACGTTAACGCGTTAAAATTACTGAATTGTTTATAATAGGTGTGGATGTTGATGGAATTCTTCGTGGAAAAATTATTCTAAAGAGTAAATTTTTATCCATTTTAGAGAATGGATTCGGTATGTAATTATGATCTAATTTAAAAAATCCTTTCATTATTGGTATTCCTATTTGACATGTTTTCGTATAGGATTTTGTAGTGTAATTTTCGGATGGGATATGCATGACAAGACATACTCTGAAGAGCTCGAGGTATCCAACCTTGAGAATGGTACAAATTAAATTTTGAACTCTGGGAAAGTTTTTACATTGAATTGATTCGAATTTTCTATTTTGAAATAAAAGGTTACGCTGACTTAATTGCCAAAGTCGACATATCCACTTACCGTCGTATACCATGGGAGAATAATATCCCATTTTTCTTGTTATCTTTTTATGATCCAACAACAAAAGAATCACTTCACGTATGTCCAAGGGGTCTTTTGAAAAACATCTTAACCAAATATGACGCATTAGGTATAACTTTATTTATTTTTATGAGTGCTCTATTTATGAATTTAATAATAAGATATAATTCTGTTATTAAAATGTTTAGGTTTAAAACCGATGTGTGGCGCTGAATTTGAGTTTTTCAATTTCAAAGGTACGAAACAATATATTATTAACATCATTTGATAAACAACGCGGACTAATATTCGATTATATTTTTTTTCATATTACAAAAGAAACACCTGAAACATTAGCAGCTAAACAACATCATTTGCCTGAACCATTAACACAGGGAATGTTTGGTTATTGTAAGTTACAGTTGCCTAAGATTCATGACTTATTTGTTTATTGTATTTTGTCTTTATTATTATTATTATTATCATTTATTTGTATATATTTTAGCTTTGCTTCGACCAACTTCGAATTTAAATTACTTTTATGATTTATTTGATAAGATGAAAGAATTCGGCGTGGATTTAGAAGGATTGCATACGGAAACAGGTTTGTGAACGCGTATCAGCTGTAGTCATGTGATATCCCATCTAAATAATTTATATCTATAGGTCCCGGCGTGTATGAAGCCGCGCTTTCATATTCGCAAGCGATGGATATGGCGGATTCAGCTACATTGTTTAAGTTGGCCACAAAACAAATTGGTATCCTTAGAGGGGTTATGCCATGTTTTATGGCGAAACCACATCCTGATCTACCAGGATGTTCAGGACATATGCATTTTTCACTTAAAAGTATGAACACAGAAGAAAATGTTTTTGCCAAAAAATATAGTGAAGTCGATGAATTAGTGGAAAATGGATCAAATTTATCAAATGAAGAATGGAAAGATACCAAAGCTATGAGTGATATTATGAAACAATTTTTGGCAGGTATTCTCGTCGGATTACCAAGTATTATGCCTTTACTAGCTCCAAATATTAATAGTTACAAAAGGTTGGTGGAAAATTATTGGGCACCCGTAAGTGTTTCATGGGGTCTCGAAAATCGAACCGCAGCTATAAGAGTAATTTCGCCGCCGACGTCACCAGCATCAGCAACTAGGATAGAGTTGAGAGTACCAGGAGCTGATATTAACCCATATTTTGCAATTGCTGCTACATTAGCGTGTGGATTATATGGTATTGAAAATAAGTTATCTGTACCGATTCCACCTTTATCATATATTAATAATAAAGTAGGCATTTCACAAGAGGAAAAGACGAATTTATTAGCTCAAAATCAATTATCCAAAAGTTTAAAGGAAGCTACCCTGGTCATGATGGCCAAAGATTCCATAGCTAGAAAAGTATTAGGTGATAAGTTTGTTGATCATTTTGGTAAAAGTAGATTACATGAATGGAAATTGTGGGAAACTTGTGTAACTAATTGGGAAACTAAACGTTATTTTGAAACTGTTTAATTGCAATCTTTGCATAAAAAGTTATTAGGTAATAAGTTGAACGGAAGGAATTCAAATTTCAAATTATAATTGATTATATTGATTTTATTTATAAATAATAATTAATAAATATAAGTTTAAATACTTCTACACTCGTGATATGGCGAGATATATCAATCCTAGTGTTCTCTGTGACTTCAGATTATAATTACGATAATTGGGACAAGGTCATTTTTGTGATGGTAATTTTTTCTTTTTTTTTTTAAAAAAAAAAAAATAATCCACACGTTTTATTTATTTTTTACCGTTATTCTAATTTCCCTTCAAATCATTTAGGACGTAAAAGAAAGAAATTTAGTAAATAGAATCTTCACTTGATTTGCGGAGATCCGGGAATTCCGCAAATGAATTTCATATATTTGAAAATGAAGGAAATACTTCATTCTCGTGTGTAGCCAACATTATTTCATATCTGGAGGTTTTTCAAGGACGTATTGTATATTCACATGTCTTTGTGCATTATCATCATCTTCAAACGTTAATAAATAAGTTCGTTGTGGTGATTGTGATAATCTATTCGGTGACAGTACAACAGCCGCTTTGTAGAAACACGTTGTACCAGGATATAATGCAAGCACTATCGTATTTGGGGTAAATTCCTGTGATGAACGAATATCAGCAGGTTTTGGAATCGCCATTACATTTTTAGCTGGAACGACGAATCGTCTAATGAAAAATATTGTAAACGTTGATTAAAATTTAAATAAATTTTATGATTATATGACAACACTTACTCTCCAGGGCGATTCGATGATTCATCCCTATCAGCATCTTCAACTTCATACCTAATAAATTACAATGAAAAATAATTCAAACACGTCAAAATTATGTGTGCGAATTTATATATGCTTACTGCCTTGACTCCGGTTTATAACTGACAACGGTTGCCAAAATCCAATTTTCTTCGCTATCTTTATTCTTGGGCTGTTTGGCTGCAACCTAATATAAAATTTTTTTTTTTATCGGATTTAATTACTTATTGAAACATGGTGATAAATTAAATAAATTACAATTACTTACTAAACTTCCGGTTTTAATTAGATTGCTGCCACTTTTATTATGAACATTAATAAAATATATTATATATATATATATTTCTTTCTTTCTTTCTTACTCAAGCAAGATAGAAAATAAAAATAAAAAAATGATCTAAAATCAATAAATACTTTTTGTGTTTCTTGATTTTAGAACTTCCAACTGATTCTTCACGTTGCCTTTTCCTTTTACTGTTACCATCGTCTACCATTGTTGCTAATAGTATAAACATGATAATTATGATAATTTCTCGTGACAAACTCTCATGATCATAAATATTACGTACTTTGCGGAGTTTGATGGTCTTTGATGGCGGAATATCGTGCCGTTAATTTGTCGATATCCTTTATTATGGTCTTACATATGCTTAAGAATTAAAAAAAAAAAATCGAAGAATAAATGGTTACTATCTATCGATCTATATATATATAAATATAAAGAAATCAACTTTATATCTTACTCTTCTTCACACTTTGCTTGTTCAATCCCTCTCTTACAAAATTCTCGTAACTTCTCGGAGTTACCTAAATGATTTTGGTATTTTAAAAATTCGATCAATTGTTTGCTTATCAAAAATTTACGTAAGGTTCAACAAAAAAAAAAAAAAGAAAGATTCTATAGAATATCTGATCGCGCTCAATAGTTAATTATATCGGGTCATTTTAAATGATTCATTTCGCGTGAATATTATCGTTATTGTATTCACGAATGAAAAACTTTATAGTTTCATTACTTGGTTGAATTTCCCTATCGTTAATCCATTCATTAGTCGCTGTTATGATCGGAACTCCATCTTCTTGTATCTTCTCTAGTTTCGTAAGATTAGCATTAATTAGTCCTTTCAATCTCTCCTCTTCGTCCGAAGTGGAACCTCTTCTCGAATCCATTTTTTTTTGTTATTTAGTTATAATACGCGAATTGCAGAAGCGCTTTATAATAATTGTTGCTAATTTTAGTTATGATGATCTACTTACTGCATAGGTCAAAAAATTCTAATTAAAGGGTTAAAAATTTAAAAAAGGTAATAAGTTTATTAAAATAAAAATGCTTATTTAGTTATATAGAAGGATTGCTAGAAAAATCAAATTCTGATAAAAATTTTGATTTTATTGCATTTTAAGTTTTGAATTTATTAAATTAAATTCTTAAATTTAAATCTGATTTTCTTACAATCTTCCTATATATCTATATATATAATAGGAATAAACATATTATAATAATCTTTTATGATATATAATTTTATAATTATATTTTTAATATATAAGTAAAAATATAATAAATAAAATTATTTTAGATATGCTATATAAATTTAAATTTTTTTAATTTAATGTCTTATTATAAATTATAATTATATAAGAATATATTAATACAGTATATAATTTTAGCATTGTAGCATATGAATATACATATAATTAATTCATTTTTGCATATAATTTTTTTTGAAGTATACATAAATCTGCACAGAAAATTTTAGCATATAGTTCTATATTACTGCATAATTTTATATAGTTATACATAATTTTATATATTTGTATAACTATATATACTGTTTTACACAGTTATACAAGTGGAATATTATCATATAATATAAATTATATCATATAGTGGTATTCCACTTGTAGTACCTTTATATAATCTAAATATCACTATATAATCTGAATATCATCATATAATCTGGATATCATCATATAATTTAAATATCACTATATAATTTGAATACTATCATATAATCTAAATACCACTATATAATCTGGATATCATCATACAATCTGAATAATATAATCTAATTACCACCATATAATCTGCATAATATAATCTAATTGCCACTAAATAATCTATTTATTTTTTTATATTAGATAGCTATTTTATATTTTAGCTATTTCTTTAAACTCTTCTTGATATTCATATCATTTACCACCTAATAATCCAACTATTATTCACTATTTAATATAACTATTACCATATAATTTAAATACTACTATTTCCTTTCTATTTCTAATCCATTTACATATTAAATTCTATATTGTGAGTATTGGCTTTTTATTCTTGTTTGAGTATCTGATTTTATGTTGAAAACATTGACTTTCTGTGTTTGTTTGAGTGTCTAGTTTTATATTAGAGACATCGATTCTCTGTACTTATTGAATGCTAGTTTTATATTGAGAATTTATGTCTATTTATTTGCCTTCAGAATGCCAAAATGGTACAAAAATGAGGTGACAGGTGACGCAGTAGATTTATAATTAATTTAAGCTGACACTATGCTATATTTTTAGCTGATCTTTTAGGTATGTGATTTAAGAATTCAGCTTATCGTTATAGTAATAATCTAGTAGTATCCTAAAGCTGTTATAGAACTAGTGAAAAACTAGCAAGGAATTAGTGTAGTTCTATTAATTCACCAGTTTTAAACTACTTGTATGTTAGCTTGGATGCTGAGTTATTATATTCTAAAGTTTAGGCAAAAAATATAAATTATAATGTTAGTTAAAATTAAGCGAATTCATATGCATTTTACTGTATTAATCATGTAATACTGTTCTAGCGCCAGAACACTCTTACATAGTTACTTCTCTCTTAATTGCCATTTTTGATTATTAGATAAGATACGAAATGCTGAATTAATGATCCAGATGTGCAATCCTACCTTTATTTTCTTATTTGATTACTGAATTGAAGCACAAAGTGCTAAATTGGCAATTCATCTATTTGCTGAAAATTTATCACAATCCATTTATTTACTCTTTTGATTGTTAGTAAGGCATATGCAAAGTATCAGTATTATGTTATTCTTGCAATCCACCTTTTATAACCCTTTTGATTGCTAATATCTCCAAAATGAGATAAATTGGTAACCTATTCAAGTATAACTTTTCTTTTTCTTTCCTATATATAATTTTGCTTGAGTGGATTATCAAAATTTCACATATTTCAGCATTTAGATTTTGTTCCTGCATAATTATTACTTCAGAATAAGATATGAAGTGCCAGATTGGTAACTCACTCAAGTATAATTTTTTTCTCTTTAGATTAGTGACTCACTCAAATATACCTTTTTTCTTCAGATTAGATTGTCACTTTAGATTTTATTCTATATAATTACTATTTCAGAATATTATTGTATTGATTGAAATAGTCCAAATTGGCTAAAAATTAGGTAGCCAATTTTAGGCTGATTTTGATACTATTTACGGTCAATTTGTCATATTTTCTGATCAGCATAAATAGGTGCTAATTGATGCCAATCGATCTTAATCAGACATGGCCATTCAAAACTTAAATAACCATAAATCAGCCTAAAATTAGCCTCAGTTCAGCAACAATTCAGATGTCAATTAATGCTGATTAACTCTAATTAGACAAGTGATTCAATTATAAATCAGTCTAAAATTAGCTTCAATTCAGTATTAATTTAGTAATAATTTAGACGCTAATCAACACTGATCGAATCTAATTGAACAAGAAATTTAACCATAAATCAGCCTAGAATTGGCTTTAATTCAGTATTAATTTGGTAACAATTCAGATATCAATTGATGTCAGTTGATTCCAATTAGACAAGCAATTCAGCATTAATAATCAGTACATTTTACTTATTAAATTTATTAAATATTAAAATTTTATTAATAATAAAAACCTAATATAAATTTGCAAAAAATATAAAAATATAACAAATAAATATCACTAAAATCTACTGATTAATTTCCTATTAAAAATAGAATAATAAAATAATAAAATATGATTCATTTCCTTTCAAAATCCCCTTAAATAAACCTAAATATAGATAAATAAATAATATATAATAAAAATATGATCTATTCCTTCTGAAATCGTCTAAAAACATAAAAATAATTAATATAAAATATAAAAAATAAAAAAATCAATCCAAAATCGCCTAAAAAATGTAAAAAATAATAAAATCGACTTATTTACATCCCAAATCGCCTGAAAAAAATGTAAGAAATAATAAAATCGACTTATTCCTACCAAAATCGCCTGAAAAAACATAAAAATAATTATTAAAATCAACCTGTTCTTACCCTAAATTGTCTGAAAAAAATAATGTAAAGATAATTATTAAAATCAACCTATTTTTACCCTAAATTGCCTGAAAAAAATAATGTAAAAAATAATAAAATCGACCTATTTTCACCCAAATCATCCCAAAAATAATGTAAAAAAATAATAAAATCGACATATTCCCATCTAAATTCCCTGAAAAAAATGTAAAAAAAATAATAAAAAATCAACCTACTTCTACTCTAAATCACCTAAAAATTCATCATTTACTATTGTTTATTATGGAATTGTCTTCACTTTCTTCAGCAGCAGATAAAACCCCCTTCTGACTTTAGTATATTCCTTAGTTTCAGTTATATATTCTTCTGCAGTTGTAACTTCTGCTTCAATTTCAGTATTGTAAACCATATTAGGTTATGCTTTATATGATCACTTTAGAGCATTATAGGGATGTGACTAGTTATAATGCTGCATATGACATCATTATATTTTTTCTTTTATTGAATTTAAGATAATAGTGTTACAACAGCATAAGGATTGAGTACTTTTCTCAGTAAATTTTTCAGCTAAAAGAAGAAAATAAAAAAGAATATTAGTGGAATATACTAAATAAATTCGAAATATGCTAAATTAGATAAAGAAAATAATAAACCTCAGCTGATCGTCAAGAATAGTCATATACAGTAATAATAGATCTTTGATAATTTTTTTCATCTGTTTCGCTGATTTTTGACAAATGATATAGGCAATCACTAAGAATTCAGAATAAAGGTCACCTTTTGTATTTCACAATTTATTGATCATTTTCTTTAAATAAATACTTTGCGACCTTTATTAGTCAAGCTGTTTTCTAATAAATAATAAATAATATTAAATTATTAATTCAAATAGATTCAAATTTGAAATATATTTTATTTGCTTACTTTATGTACTTGATTATTATTATAAATTCATCATAGCTTTGAAGGGCTCTTTCCACTTTTCTTAATTTTTTGAGCTGACCGATGTGACTTATGAAGGATTTTTAGCCAGTTCATAGGTTGGTCAACAAAAAGCTGAAAATTCAGAGCCAAGAACTTTTATAATTACTATCCCTTAAACTGTAAAAATTTGCAAGCAAATTTGCCTGCTTATTTACTATAAATTCTCTCCTGATTTATTTTTATGAAAAATTAAAATTTTAAAAAATTTTTTTTTTTAAATTAATTTTATAAATATATATAATATTATAGTAAATTTTAGTTTTTAATTATATAATAAATAATTTAAGGTTACTT